TTAAACAAAAAAACTTAGACTTATTTCTTAAAAAAAAAGATGCCATTTTTTAAAAGTACTGGAAGTAACTTTCGATATTTATTCAAAGTACTGTGAAAACTTTCGACATTTTATAAGAGTACGAATTACCTTAATACCACCGACCACTCACTTACAGAGAGATGGCTGATAGAACTTTTTACTTATGGATCCAATCATCGCTTGAATGTTTTCATTATTTCCTACCAGCCCTCTCTCTCTCTAAGTAGAAGGAGTGGTTGGTGAACTTGAAGGTAATTAGACCTTATTTTATTTTATTTTTTTTTTTTTGGATTTGTCTGGATTTGTAAAATATTTTTAGTTTCTGTCAAGATTTTTGTCATTGATTTTTGATCTGATTCGTTAGAATCGAAAAGTTTAAGTGTTCTTTTTAAACGATGTTATATTTTCGGGATTGCAATTTTTGTTACCCACCCTGCTCGGTTAGTACATTATTTCACTTGTTATGAAATAAATTTTAATATTCCTCCTTTTATTGTTGAAATAAGCTCATTCTGCTAAATTTATGATGGATAGATAGAACCGTTTTAACGTTTTTAAATCCGAAAGTGGGATGTCTCCCGATTGTTATAGCACGTTTGCAATTTTAAATGTCCTAGCGTTTCGCCAGTATACCTTTTCAATTATCAACACACTTGATTATATCAACAAATATGTTAGTTCTGATTTCCCACATATTTGCGTGACATAAGCATCAACTAACACGCACGCACGAGTCCATCTTTAGATGAGCGTCATTGTACATTTAATTCGCGGCCGGCCATCAGTTCATTCGATAATAATACAATTTCCCGCCATATTGTTCCAGCCATTTTGACTGTACGTATTCTTCCCGCGCTTTTTTTGATGTGTCTTTTATATTTCATTCTGCATTTTAATACATCGCCCTTAATTGATCGATTAATTCTTGTGCATTTTTTCGTTGTCTTTTTTTTTTTTTTTTTCGGATCATTTTATCTCACCTTCAAGAAAATTGCTCTTTATTTAAATAAAACATTTTCTTTATATCTTTAATGCATATACTTGCATCATTTTATCAATTTACTTTTTTCTTTCTCTGTACGTTATATAAATGTCTATATAGAAGGTAATCGACTTACCAATTTCGTGTACAAACTATGGACAACGCGATTATTCAATTATATTACTCATCGCACTGAAGCCAGCAGTAACACGCAAAAGCGAATATTAAACTTCTATATGCTCCGTCTTTATCTGTCTATATTTCTGAGATGAGCTACAATATACACTATTTACATTATTCGGACTATTGTCCTCATCTTTGTTGCCATATTTATTACAACGTTTCAGCCCTTCAGTATATGTCTATATTTCTGAAATGAGGTATTATGTAAACTATTTACATTATTCGAACTATTGTCCTCATCTTTGTCGCCATATTTATTACAACGTTTCGGCCCTTTAATATCTGTCTATATTTCTGAGATGAGGTATTATGTACATTATTTACATTATTCGGACTATTTTTCTCATTTTTTTCGCCATATTTATTACAACGTTTCCGCCTTTGTACGTCCCGGCCTTCTTCAGGTGGTTGGAATGTCGAACATAACCGTTTATTTCGCTCACTGTGGTAGACTGTTCTAGTTTCACGTACCATGTTTAATGGATGATATGGCACAGTGGATAAAGGCGTTGGTTAGATCCAGTGACAGGACCCAAAGAGTGTGAGTTCAATACCCGGTTAAGGCAGTGGAGAACTTTCAGAGGGAAATTAACAAGAGATAACTGATAACTGACATTTATGACGGACACCAGCCAATCATATTCCAGTGAGGGAGAACTCAGGTATATGCATATTCCATTATATCAATGATAAATGTATCAGCAATATATTTTTATATGAAAAGGTCCACCAATACATTTTACAGCAAAATGACCAGCAATACATTTTATCTCTAGTTGAAGGCATACAACTGAGTTCAAAATATATTCACTTGAAGCCATAAAATTGTTTTCAAATTATTTAGATTTTGTCATTACATAACCCATAGAGGCGTCGATGTGCAGCTAAACAAAATCAACCAACCAGCATTTTCTTGCTTATCTACGAGATGCTGTGGTTTTCCGTATGAGTCTGCCCTCAGAACAGCGGCATAAACGTACCGTATATTAAAATTGTGCCCAGCAGTACTAAATCCTGGTAAGACTACACACTTCCTGTCGTGGTTAAATAAAAACTCCAAAGAGGAGGCACATCCTTACATTATGCGGTCTTCTATCTTACGTACCTTCTCGATTCATTTTTCTATCACTGTTCAAGAGATTTTCTCCTATTATAAGTTCTGGTTCATTCGACCATCATTCCTAAAATCTCTTCTGTCAACCATTTACACACTCTCATTTCCTCTTAGCTCTTAATATGTAACCCTCTAACTTGAGTGGCTCTTATGCCCTATACGAGAGGAGTTTTATTGTAAAAATATGGACTTTGAATATGTTTCAGTAAATATTGGATATTTTGTCTTGATTTGAATAGAGTGACTTTGACGAGTGTTATGTCAACTATTTGAATTTCAGATAAGACTAGTTTGACGCAATGCCATTTTATACAAAAACATTCACGCTGTATAAGGCCTAAGGCCCACACCAGGTAGAGGGTTACAAAGTAAGAGGAACAGTCTATATGAAAGATAACAGCTAACCTGCAACTTGAACTTGTTAAGATTGTAGAGAAATATCCTCTTGAGGTCGGTTCGCATAGCAAAGGTTTGTGGGAAGAAGCAGCTCGTGTGGAACTTACATCTCACCAAAAGAAATGAGGGCAGTTCGCTGCAATGGGCGTGGCATGGCGGGTCTTAACTGTGACGATAAGAACTGGTTGAAATAAGGAATGTAGTTCGTTTGAACACTTTCCCTATAAAAAGCGAGGCTTGCAACTTTTCCTCTCCGAGAAAGACGTTCTAGGGTGGGAAATACTTTATCATCCACAAGGAGGCGAAGACTAGACAGTGAAAAGTGGGAATTCCCTGTCCATATATGTCAGAAATTCTCCATTTTCAGCCTTGTCTGACTCTTGAAAAGATAGAAGTCACGTACTTGCTGGGAACCGACTATTTTGCCTGCATCTTTAGAGATGGATCGTACGTCCACGTTCAACCAGAGGTGTGGGTTGAGATTAGATTTCAATAGACGCTCATGGTACGGGGTTTCGAATTCAAAGCGATAGCTGGGAATTCAGGGAACGCTTTGTGATGGGATGAAAAATCATTCGTTTGGTTATCGTATCATTGTATATAGACAGACATTTCTTTGCCCGATGTGCTGTTAGACCAAGGTCAGAAGTGAGATCACTGAACAACAAACAGACGACTGTAGACATATATACGTATATTTACCTATGTTTAAAATATTAAAAAAAATAATGCGATTCTTTTTAAAGGAGCCTTGAATTTGTTTAAAATTCGTTTGACTCATGATTTTATTGATTTCTTCTTTAGCTTTTCAGTTTTTTCTTCAAAAGAATATCGATTTTCTCCTAATTGATTGATTTCCATGTCCTTTTCACACTTGTTCTTTCTTTATTTTTTTTCTTTCTCACTTACTTTCCGATGCCTAATCCCGTTCTTTTATTGTCCTTTCCTTGATGTGACGATAAACTTCGTCCGGCAGCAAGGCGTCTGTTCGGGGCGTTAATAGGAACGTGAAACCATCTCTTATTTGTTATTGTTCCAAGGTCTACCTTGACCCGGCTTGGTAGAACCTGTTAGGGTCACAGTAAACTGGTGTAAAAACACTATAAAAATATAAAAATAGACTTTTATATTAAAATTACCAGCAATATATTTTTGAAAAATAAATTAACTGCTATACATTTGATTCTTAACAAAAAAACGTATACTTCAATGAAACCTGATCTAGAAACTGATTTCTTACAAAGAATTCAAATTCTACTCATACGAACCTATCCTAAAAATCTTTTCGGTAATTAATAACCGATATGCGGTAAAATGCATAAACCAAACCAAAGCATCAATGAAACCAAACTCTCCATAAAACCCATCTTTACACAAAATACGTCAATAAAACCTGATTTAGGAACTGATTTTTTTTACGAAGAATACATATCCTATTCATACGAACCTATTCTAAAATCTTGTCAGCAATCAATAACCCATTGAGATGTTGATATGCCGTAAAACGAAATAAACCAAACCAAAGCACCAATGAAACCAGACTCTCCATAAAACCCATCTTTACACAAAATACGTCAATAAAACCTGATTTAGGAACTGATTTTTTTTACGAAGAATACATATCCTATTCATACGAACCTATTCTAAAATCTAGTCAGTAATCAATAACCCATTAAGGTGTTGATATGCCGTAAAACAAAATAAACCAAACTAAACTTTTCTTGTTCTCTTCTGTTCATTTTTGATTTATATTGACATTTATATTGACATTTTTTCCTCCGTTCTTTCTTTTAAAATCTTCCTTCATCAGCGTTGTGACTTTAACGTTTATTCCTCTTCCTCCATTTTTTTCCTTCCTAGCAATCGTTCATTCGTTCTTTAACATTTTCTTGTTTCATTTTCTTTCTTTCGAATGTTTAGGGTGGGTGTAATGGATAGACATACGACATTAGAAATCGGAGAGACAAGTTCAAATTTCAGTTCTGTTTGTTACTTCCAGTTACGTGCAAATCCCCTTTGGGATAACTATGAATCTTTCCTTTTTAAATATTGATTACATAGAAAGACTTGCAAAGAGGGAAATTATTGTTGGAGAGAATCATTGTTGTTAAAGCGACATTCAGTCAAAAAGACAAGATTTATTCTTACAATCCAAAATATGTTCCATCATTAAATAACATACAAAGGTCAATAAACCGTAAAAATCAGTTAAATAAGCGAATTTATATAACTTCAATAAATTATATTTTAATTTTTCTTATTCTTTTCATATTAATTTGTTCTTTTTCCTTTTTATTCCTTCTAATGTTTCTCTCCATTTCATGTCCTTTTCTTTTCTTTTTCTTGCTTTTCTTTTTTTTCCTTTCTTTTACATTCGTTTCGTTTCTTTTCTTTCTTTTTCATCCTTTCTCATTCTTTTTTCTTTCTTTTCTTTTCTTTTCTTTTTCTTTCTTTTTCATTCCTTCCCTTTTTTCCTTTCTTTTTATTCCTTTTCTTACTTTTCCTCTCTTTTATATTCGTTTCGTTTCTTTTCTTTCTTTTTCATCCTTTCTCATTCTTTTTCTTTCTTTTTCATTCTTTTCTTTTTCTTTCTTTTTCACTCCTCCCCTTTCTTTTCCTTTAGTTTTCATTCTTTTTCTTTTTCCTTTCTTTTTATTCTTTAATTACTTTTCCTTTCTTTTACGTTCGTTTCGTTTCTTTTCTTTCTTTTTCATCCTTTCTCATTCTTTTTCTTTCTTTTCTTTTCTATTTCTTTCTTTTTCATTCCTTCCCTTTCCTTTCCTTTCTTTTTCATTCTTTTTCTTAATTTTCTTTCTTTTCGTTTCTTTTCCATCATTTTTCATACGTTTCCTTTCTTTTTCCTTTCTTTTCTTTTCTTTTTCATTATTTTTCTTTCTTTTTCATTATTTTCTTTCACTTTCGTTTGCTTTCTCTTTCTTCCTTTTCCTTTATTTTCTTTATCTTTCATTATTTTTTCTTTTCCTTTCTTTTCCTCCTTTTAATCTTTTCCTTCTTTTCCGTTCTTTTTCATCTTTCTTCATTTTTTCCTTTGTTTTCCTTTCTTTTCTTTTCCATTTTTCATTCTTTTCTTTCTTTATCGTCCTTTTCGTTTCTTTTCCTTTCTTTTTCATTATTTTCCTTTTTTTTCTTTCTTTTCCTTTCTTTTTCTTTCTTTCGATTTCTTTTTCTTTTTTTTTCCTATCTTTTTAATTCTTTTTCTTCGTTATTTTTCTCTTCATTTTTCCTTCTTTCTCCTCTTTACTTTGGAATTTTCTTTCTTTTTTCTTTTTATTTCTTTCTAAATTTCATTTTCATTTTCATTTTTATTCCTTTTTCATTTGCTCCCATAATTTTCTTCATCCCTTAATTTCTTCCTTTTCTTCCTTTTTATTCTTTTCTGTACTTTCTTTCTCTTTTTTCTCTATATTTATTTGCCTATCTTACTTTATGCTTTTTTTCCTCTCTTTATTTCCCCCTCTTTTGTGTCTTTTTTTCTCATTAATTTTTTATTTCCTGTCTCATCTTTATGTTTTCTATCGTATTTTTCTTCTTTCTTTGTTTTGGAATTTTCCTCTCAATTTACATTTCATTCCTTTAATATTTTTTCTTTTTTTTTTCATTCCATTTGCTTCCTCCTTTTATCATTTCATATTTTTTCTCGTATTAGTTAAAACCCTCTTCCCATTACCAATCTACTTCTGTTTGATACTGTAGCCATCTTTTTTGCAATCTGATATTTTTCTCATGCAAGAGCATGCTTTTTTTTGTCCAACTGAATTCCTCCTCCCAGCGAAGATCCCTGTCGAACTCAACAACGAGAGTCTTATCCTTTACCTACAAAGTTCAACTCACCAGAAAGAAAGAAAGAAAGTAAAAAAAAAATCATTAACAACAGTGTGTCTGCGCAAGAATAAAAAGAGAAATCACTTAAACCAAATCGTATGTTATGGAGTATGTAATATTGCAAAGAAAAACGTGGAACGAATTTTATCTAAAGAATATTACTATTAGAGTGTGCGCCTTCGAATGACGAAGTACTTAATGACGAAACAAGCGAGTCGAAAAACTTGAATATTTACAGAGATGAATTAACAATTAAAAGTATGCTATAGTCGAACAAGTAAAAAAAGGTAAGACATTTGTTCGACCAACGACAAAAAAATAGGTTAAAGAAATTAAAAAATACGAAACGAAAAATATGTGATGCAAGAAAGAGATGATTTTCTTTATTTTTCTGCAACCTTACAAACACAAGTGAGTTCTTGAGGAAAACGATAGACGAGGCGAATTAAACTATGATCTGGAATCAAATGAAATCACTGATGGCGCCGACCCAGAATGCATCATAAAAATTCAGGCTCTGTAATTAGTAAATACTAAACACTTCAAATACCTATTTGTTATAAGTGATCCCAGCTACAAGATTAGTGGAAAATATTTATAAAAGACGTGTTTCGCTGGAGAAAGTTTATGTTCTCTTTGGCGTCATCTGTTTGAATTATTCTCATTGAAATCAAACTGATGACGCCAAAAAGAAACTTTTCTTTCAGTTTCACTCTCTGTACCCACCTTGCATCTTAGTGGCTTTATCACCTTGCTTGGGATAAAATGATTAAAAACAAAAAAATGAAATCTAGAAGCAACTAAAATCACAGTATTAGATATTTGATCTCCGAGTGAGTCTCCTTCCTTCTCGCGAGTGAAGATTGTTTTCACTAAATCGTGTTCTTTTTGTTTTTTAGATAATTGGAATCAGTTAAAACTGGCGTCACATGTAACGGCTAAACAGAAAAACATGTTCCTTTTTTAAACTTCTCACTGAAACGAAGGCCATAAAGCCACTAAGACGCAAGGCATTACTGAGTTAAACAAAACGAGAAACAAATTTAAAGAGCGAACAATAAAAGAACAAGAATTAAGAAGGGAGAAAACTACGACTGACTTTTTTTCTTTTTAGGTGCCATGATCTTTCAGGACGTAGGTGATCATGGCTCTCCACTTTTCCCTATCCCTTGTGAGTAAGTTTCCTCCTTCTGCCACCTCCCCCAGACTACGTTCTGTCATCCACTTGCTTAAGACCGCCAGATATGTCATGCGTTGCTTTCCATTGTCTCTCTTTCGCTCAGTTCGACCTGTGGGTATCAGATTCTCCAAGCCCTCTTTTCTCATTACATATCGAAGAAATTTCATCCGCGTTTTCTTGATGTTAAGTATAAGCCTCCCCCTTGTTTGCATCCTCTCCAAGACCTCATCGTTGCTCACACGCTCGATCCAGGATATGCTTAGCATCCTTCTGTAGAACCACATCTCCGTCGCCTCGAGTCAGCTTCTTCATCTTTGAGGAGACTGTCCAACATTCGCTGCCGTAAAGAAGGACAGATATCACGGAACAGATGAGAACTCTTTTCTTTGTTACCAAATAAATCCTCCTGTCTCTCAATATTTTGCCCCGCTTTTGAAATCACTGATGGCGCCGACGTAGAATCAATAGTCCGTAGCCATCTTAATTTGCTTACGGATCTTGGTGTCGCTCTTACAACGCTCCCCAGATATTTAAACTTCCCAGCTTTTGGAATGCGTCCTTGGCTATTCCAATATGTCTCCGTCTCTCACTTGCCGTCTTCTATCAAAACACTTCCCAGATATTTAAACGTCCGCAACTACTTGATGTTAGTGTCCCCGACCTGCAAATCGCAATTCGGGCTCATCTTTTTACTGATGACCATGCATTCTGTTTCCGTGTAGTTTATGCTTAGTCCCTTCCGCTAGAACAATTACGACTGAGTAGTGAGTTCGATCCTCACTGGGTGCCCCATACTTTCGGCCTTGTGGCACATCCGAGCTACGCTTGGAAAATCGGGGCACCTCAGCGTGGTGTAATGGTTAGCAAGCTTGTCTCGCTAGATCAATTACGACTGAAAAGTGAGTTCGATCCTCATTAGGTGCCCCATACTAAAAAGAGGGCACCTCGCGGTGGTGTAATGGTTAGCAAGCTTGTCACACTAGAACAATTACGACTGAGTAGTGAGTTCGATCCTCACTGGGTGCCCCATACTTTCGGCCTTGTGCCACATCCGACCAACGCTTGGAAAATTGGGGCACCTCGAGGTGGCGTAATAGTTAGCAAGCTTGTCTCGCTAGAACAATTACGGCTGAGTAGTGAGTTCAATCCTCACTGGATGCCCCTTACTTCCGGCATTGTGCCACATCCGATCTACGCTTGGAAAATCACTATGCTTAGTCCCTTCTTCTCGCTCTCCGTCGCTACCTTCTCTAGGAGATTTTGTAGTTTCTTTTCCGTGTCTGCTATCAGTACTGTGTCATCTGCGTATCGTATGTTGTTAAGATTGTGGCCGCCGATGCTGAATCCCGCTAGGATTTCCAATTCTCTCAGAATTCCCTCGCTGTATAGGTTGAATCATGGCTAACGACTGAGAGTGCGTTTAAATTTTTGAAGATCAAAGTTGATTGGCAAGCAAGAAGCCGGAAGAGAGTTTCACAGGCGTTAGCATAGAATTTATGAAAATTTCTCTGAGTTAACCTATAGAAAAAATATTTATAAATGACAATAGGAAGACTGTAGTAGTTACCAACGCGTTTCGTCCAATGTGCACTTTCTCAAAGCAAAAAACGAAATGAATTTATTCAAACAAAGTAACTAATAATAGCAAAAACAAAATGTCCTTAGCAAATGGAACCATTTTCTTTTTATTCATACAATGCCGTGAAATCAAAAGAAAATGGTTGTATCCGTCAACACAGCAATAATAACACGTGACAGTAATTGTCGTAATTTTCAGTTAACAATATGAAAATAGCGTTCTCTAAATTCTTCCAGTATACTAGGGTGGCTAGGCAATCCCTATTACAGACGCTCGCTCAGGCACATTTATGTTTGCTCAACACCCAGAAAGCCCACCTATGCTGAACAGAAATTAGTTACAGTTTTTGGGAGATAGCGTGTTATCTAACGTGATCAACAATTTCACCAAGCCAGCACGGTCAAGCTCTCAGCCACAATGACTTGTGGTTTCGTGCAACCACATCTATCCTTGGTATATATATATATATATATATATATATATATATATATATATATATATATATATATATATATATATATATATATACCACATTAAACGTTATTTTTAGTGTTTTAATATGTTTCATAATTAGACATATATATAAAGATTTAAAGCTTTTAAGATTCTGTGTTAATTTCACCGGTTTTGATAATATTATTATTAAGTGAAAACAATATTTACAGAGGAGACACGGTGGAGTACTGGATAGCGGCTCGGACTGAGGAATCGAAGAGCCGAGTTCGAATTCTAGTCGAAAATTACAAAAATTAGGAAAAGTATGAATCCTCTCTTGCCAGCTATGGGTAAACCACAGGATAGACAGGGTTCTATAATCCTGGATAGCAACTGGTCTATCGCACTTTCTACTGCGGGAAAGAAATCTGCCTCGTCAGTCATGTATCGAAAGATACATGATTGCTAAAGCGTGTCTCACGCATGGCACATAACTGACTAATATTTACTAATCATAAATTGAAAAGCTACATAGGAATCATCAAACACAAAAATTTGTAAAATAATTTTTTTTGTTTTTTATTAGTGTATAAAGGTATCATTTTTTTTCTAAGTACAGTCGAAGATACGCGACATTATCAGAAAAGAAGTGCGATGACTATAGTAAATTGAAATTAAAAATTTGAAAAGTTCAACAGAACTATTTGAACGGAGATTTTCCTAATTTTTTAAGGTTACTAATTACTTAAAAAATAATTAAAAAATCACTCACGTCATATTTCTTCAGTTACGATTTACAAATAAAATTTCCGTCATTGCATCTGTCATCACCTCGAAAATCATAAAAACAAGGCTTTTGTCGGTTAAAATGACAACTACCCTCTGATTAAAAATGCATTTTTTCGATAATTTAAGCTTAAAGTAAGTAATATCTTTTTTAATCCGATTAATTATACTGTAAGTCAGATGATATTTCTAATATGTATGAAGTTTTAGAAAAGTATATTTTATTTTTAAGATATTTTTTAATAAAGACAATTCCATTGCTATGGAAGACGACGAAATGAATCGATAATCAGATGTTTTAACGAAAAGAAATTCTTTCCAATGAATTTAAATTAGCTTTTAAAATAGAGCCAAATATATCGCTGTAAATTATAACTAAAATAAAAA